TTAAACCCAACAATATGGAGAGAATTATAACGACACAGCAATTTGGCTTAAACTAAACTGAAAGAGGAGCCACATATTTATAGTACACGAGTCAAACCCTAAAACTAGGCTAAAATATGGAAATTAAGAAAAACCACGTAAAAGAAAGAAATCCAGCGCCCAAATATTATTTCCTTAATTTTGGATGCAATTGATTTCTTTCCTTTTTCACTTGGCTCTAATGATTTTTTCCTAAATCCAGACAACACGTAATCTTCCAATCTTTGACCAAATTTTGAGACACCTAATTAACACTTGCTTGGCGTGATTCATTTTTATAGACATGAAATGAATTTTTAAATCAATGTCACGATGATGTAATGTTGCTTAAGGTTTATTTAGCAATTATTTGTTTTACTTGAATCCTTATTTTGTACACAAAAAGAGTGGAAGTCGATATATATAAGCTTTTGGTGACGTACTCGATTAATCGAATGTGATAGTGGTACGATGTGAAAGTGAATGGAGAGATCTCCAAGTTCAAGTCCAAATACAGATGTCGAGCTCGATAGAAGAAGCCCAAATCAATCATTGAAACACTATTATTTCATATCACGAGGTCAGAGATAGCATTAACTCTTATAAACTATGTATCGAAGCTCATCCTACCACCCACATAATGATATAAACTCAACTCGAGAAGATTCACTCAAAAATCCAAGAATAACTTTGTGCCTGATGTAAAAGATAATTGTTTCCACCTAAATGCTTTAGTTTTCCTAAACAACTTCCCTAAATGGTGAGATATCAAGCCCATTTCCTTCCTATTAGCTCATTCTTCTTCTGCCCGAGGGCACTTGAAGATTGCTAACTTGCCTTCTTCTGCCTTAACTAATTTAAGTCTTTGATCAGTAGTTAAACCCGATTTCCATACTCCATCTATACTTTTCATTCTAGAGTTCAGAACTTCCCTTATTAGTTAGTATATGGACAGCTATCTCTCGAACGCAAGTTTAAATTTTGCCTCAATGAGAAAAGAAAATTGAGTACTTAACAATGTATCTTCACATACCATGAACCACGAGATCTATCAAGATTTTTATGTGTTAAAAGTAAATGACTTAAAAGGTTGAAAAAGCTTCTAATAAAATTTTAGCAAATTTCAACAAAAGTTGATGAAATACGTGATTGAAAAATTGATAAAATTAATTATGAGTCCGATGAAATATGTAGTTAAAATGAATTATTGACTTTGATATCAACTTACAAACCCGCAAATAATAGAATAGAAATAATCACCTCAACTTTTAACGGTTGAGGCGTTTTACAATTTTTTTAATAGCCTCCAAGCAATCGACTAGAGTTTCGACGTGATCTTTAGGGTTCATTTCCAAGATTCTGTGAAATTTGAAGTTCTGTCTATAACTATTGGAATGAAGAGTTAATTACCTATTTAAGTCAACTTATTGGGCGTAATTGAACTTTTCGATTTTCTTTCATAGGCCGGCGCACGTGCAGTACTAGTAACCCAAGTGTAAAATCAAGAAAAAGAACTAAACTTTTGCTGGTAAAAGACCAAAAAATTAAGATTTATCTGTTAATTCACACGTATGTTCAGCAGGTAAAGGTCGAAGAATTTAATATATAATAGAATGGAATAATAGAAATTCCCTCTTTTTGATTTGACTCTGACCTCCTATTTGGACAGATGCAAAAACAGATTACAGATTATATGCAGGCGAATTTCTGGATAGGGTTTCCCATTCAACGACATTTTCCCTAATCTGCATGAAAATGGGACCAAACGCGGCTTCCTTATTATGGATCCATTTTTTTACATGCATATTACTATTTTTCGTATAGTTTAATAGTAAGAAATTTTCTTTATTTCTGTTCCCATCTGCAGCAGTTACAATTATATGAATAAACATATACAACTCTCTTTAAACAAGGCTCTATTTGTGTGAAATTAAAAACGCGGAAATTGGCTAAGCTGTTCTTACATTTTCCTTTGATTTGTCTATTCTCTTTGGCACTGAAGAAAGAAAAGAAGGCAAAGAAAAGGTTTATGATTTGTCTCTTTCTCCTCTTCTCCTGCTTCTACTTGTTGTTTCATCATGTCAATATCATAAACTCAGAAAATTGTGTGTATGTTTCTGAAATAATTCTATACTGTCATTTCCCATTTTTTTCCTTTTCCCTCTCCTTTCTTCCATGAAAAGTGTGAGTTCTTCGCTTTCTTTCTATTTTTTTAGCAGTATATCTATCATGCCAGATGATAAGTAGTTTCCTTATAAGCCGATCTTTTCACGTAAGGACTGTGTATGTGTGAAAAATAGAGGGAGAAAGAGAGATTAGTGAATTATGGCTGAGGTTTTTAGGGTTTCAGTTGCCACACTTAAATTTTAACAGAAACCAGGATTTGTTTTTCTTAGGGTTCTTAGATTCTTGCATGGAATTTTCTTGCACCGATTACTCATCACCTTCTTGTTAAAATTTCATAGAAAATCAGCAAAATAAATTGCCCCAGATGAACCCTAAATCATATTTTTCTTTTTCTTGATTTGTTTAATTCTCTTACTATATTTCTTTTTCTTGATTTGTTTAATTTTCTTACTATATTTCTTTTTCTTGATTTGTTTAATTTTCTTACTATATTTCTTTTTCTTGATTTGTTTAATTTTCTTACTATATTTCTTTTTCTTGATTTGTTTAATTTTCTTACTATATTTCTTTTTCTTGATTTGTTTAATTTTCTTACTATATTTCTTTTTCTTGATTTGTTTAATTTTCTTACTCCCTTGAATATGAAAAGCAACATATTTTCACACGTCCTGCAGCTATGCAAACTCATGGCCTTTCTTAATTTGTAATTTGTTTTACTCCTTTGATTTGCAGGATATATATAGATTTAATATCAGAATATAGAGAGGATGATGACAGGGAATAGACAGGCAACCGTCCCACCAGGGTTTCGTTTTCATCCCACAGAAGAAGAGCTGCTATATTATTATCTAAGAAAAAAAGTCTCCTATAAACCTATCGACTTGGATGTTATTAAGGAAGTCGATCTCAACAAGCTCGAGCCTTGGGATCTCAAAGGTAATTACCCACTTTTCCTTTTTCTTTCATTAGGTTTTGAAATATTTGTTCAAAAGAATAAACCCATTATTTCGAAGAAAGAATAAGTACATTTTTAAGACAATTTTCTAATTAATCCTATAATTAAATTTGCTCTATGATAATTGGCAGACAAATGTAGAATTGGATCAGGTCCCCAGAATGAATGGTATTTTTTCAGTCACAAGGACAAGAAATATCCAACAGGAACTCGAACAAATCGTGCAACAGCTGCTGGGTTTTGGAAGGCTACGGGGAGGGACAAATGTATCCATCTCACCAACTCAAAGAGAATTGGGATGAGGAAGACTCTTGTTTTTTACACTGGACGTGCCCCTCACGGCCTGAAAACTGACTGGATCATGCATGAATACCGTTTGGACGATGACACAGCTGAAATCCAGGTACTTAACCCTCAGCGAGAGAGCTATATTCAGTCGTCCGTGCAGTTTTCAGTATAACGGAGAAAATGAATTCAAATTATTTCTTACATTCTATTTTTCTGCTACATATACTAAAGTTAGACCTTGGATACTATGAAACAGGAAGATGGGTGGGTAGTCTGCAGGGTTTTCAAGAAGAAAAACCACACCAGAGTCTTCCAATCCGAACTGGACCAAGAAGAACCCGTATCATACCAGCAAGCTAGTATCTCACTTTTGGACCCAAAACTCCATTATCAAGAACATCAGGATTATTCATTGGATCACAGTAATTCCACGCACCTTCCACAGTTACTGAGCGCAGAATCATCAACTGTTCCTTCTTCATTCCGTTTCCTATCATCTCTTCCACTGAGCACCACCACAGATATACTGTGTTCACAGAATCTGTTGAGGTTAACACCTGAAATTCCTGACGGCCTTATGCAACAAGAGAAGTTCACGGGTGACTGGTCATTTCTGGATAAGCTTTTGGCTACTCATCAGGGAATTGATCCGAGCAAATGCCATCAATTTTCACAAGTTTCTGAAGTGGTTCCTTCTGCTCAGAGATCTTCATTCCCCTTTCTTGGGTTTGAATACGATTTTTCGAAATTTTCCAAGTAGTTTTTTCTGAGTTTAAGAAATTTAAGGTGCTCACTTGACTTTAATTTGGTTAGCTGGACTCTTGACATTTATCATAATTCTGTGGCTGCAAATTTATATTTAAAGTATTTGGCTCAAAATGTTGTGCTTTTTATAATCTTCATTAGTAAAATATTGTGGAAAATGTATGCATACAGAAATATCTACTACAGTCAAATTAAGCAGGAACTTTTGTTAAACTGTCATGGAAATTTTTATTTTTATTTTTATTTTTTCTTTTTTCGAAATTGTCTTCTAAAACCATGTTTGGCTAATTTAAAGGAGTAAAAGTTATTTTAAGCTTTTTTGTTTTGGCCAAACAAAATTTTATAACTTCGAAAAAAAATGTAATAATACTGTTATCTATTGTGGACAGAGGCGGCTCAAGCAAGTTGGGGAGTCTTAGGCCTTTGGTAAAGTAGATGAGCATGGAGGCCTTTGGTTATGAGTTCGATTTTCTTTATCAATACTTTTTTGGTCGAGCTTGTCGTACCAGGCTTGTCTAGTGCGGTTTATCTGACTGGCGTGATTTGTAAGCTATTGTGTCAGTCCGAGGGTTTACCCAGTGTGCACCCGAAGGGTAGCGGCTGTGAGTTCTCCCGTCATTTAAAAAAAAAAAGGGAAAGGAAAAAATAACACTTGGGGGGTCTTAGGCTAAAATTTTGGAGGGGCTTCTTTAAGAATAATTTTTTTTTTTTTTGATAAAAAAATAAATAATACCTTTCTTTGCTGATCTTAAAAACACAATTAAAATATAGGTAAAAAAATAAAAGCATAACTTTCTTAAAAATAAACTCACCTTGAGTAAGAAAAAAGAGAGAATGGTGCTTTGATGGTAAGTTCCAATTGAAATTGATTATAATATAAAAGTTTGTCGGGGGTTTTCAATTAGAGAAGAAACGAGAAAAAATGTAGAAAAAGGAAACATCTTTTGATCTGGTCAATTGGGTATACTCTTATGGTTGGATTGAATTTTATTTAAATTTCAAATTTTTCGGGCCTTGCGTGAATATGGGGCACTAGACGATCTCCTAGATATCTTCATGGTTGAGCCGACCCTAACTGTAAGATAGGATGTAAGCTTGTGGGTCGCTCTATTTCCATTTCTAAAAATAAAGCAGCTGGAGGTATGACTTATATATCATGTGCTTGTTTCCGTTTGACAAAAAAATTAAATTAAATTACGTGTGGAGTATGAATCTTCATCTATATATAGTATGTGGAAATTGTATGTATATATACATCCTCGACCGTCAAATTCAATAGAACGACCCACAAATATTAACCATTTATCCACCCTTCATTTGTATCTTTATAAAATTTAAACATTTTATAAATACTTCCCAAACATGTTTTTTAACATTCTTGAATTATGATTGTGTTTTACAATTTTTATTCTTTTCCTTTAAAAGGATATTGCTAAAAACCTAACATCCGGTGCCATGGCTCAACTTATATACTTGATGTAGGAGAGTGTCGCTATTTCACCCAAAAGTTATAATTCATGATACTAATGCAATCCATCTTATATTATCCGGAATCAAGTCTGGATGTACACTCTTAAGACAAATTTGTTGGGCCAATTCTGTTTCAAGCATGCTCTTTATAAAACTTCGTTCTTTCTACTTGAACTAAGCCCTAACCTTAAAACCTTCTTGAATGATAAATAATCAATTTAAAACAAACTTAATTTATGAAACAACCAAATATATTGACCTCGTAAATTGGTTGTTTCAAATTCAATTGCTCACCAAGTCCCTAACATAAACTAATATTAGTAATGCTTATTAACTTTTGCCATAACAATATTCATGATATGGCATGTCCAGCATGGTAAACTCGACAACACCAAAATAGAAAGAAAAATTGACACGTTTTTTCTCTGTCAAATCATATCTAGAGTAGCATATCAAAACATGTCCTAAGTAAACTCGCTTCCTTATGGCTCCACCAAGCATTTACCTTAAGTAACCTGTGAACATAATAGAGTCCCACCAAAACAAGACGCAAACAGTATCTGAAATTCTGAATACATTTGGAATGTTGTTGGTTCGAAAGGTCTATAAAATCTCTATTCTAATGCTCAGTCTGATCTAATTTAACAAACACTTGGACACGTCAAACATTACTATATACGAAGAAAATAAGATAAATTATAGTATGTTATTCTATGCAATACTATCCAATATTGTCTAGCAAACATGTCCTAAATGCAGAATTAAACCATGGCTTGTAGTCAAAACGAAACACGTTGTAATCCCCCTTAATCATTTGAACCAAAGTGCACCCTCTTTAACTTCAGCATCCAATTCTAATTGTAAGATACAAAAGACAATATTTTGAAATCATATTTGTCTGTTTATAAAGGAAGCCAATTTCCAACTTGTGTAGAGATAGAATACGGGGAATTTCTTGTGTGAATAAACCATAGGTTGATCAAGTGTTTATATCCTTAAAAAAGAAGTGCTATAAAACAATCGAATACTAAATCTCATTATCCATATCGGCATATTGCTAAACTAACAACGAAACCCAACATGGCTCCTGCTATAACTTCAATTTCTGTGTGTCCTACTGATTCTTTTAATGTGGGGTAACCATAAGATACACCTACTGATTCTTCTCCGACATCCGATGCCACACCAGAGGATCTTATTGTCGTGCTTTTTATCCTGTTCTCAGATTTAAGTAACAGAGAAGCATTTGCCTGTTTTGTCTGAAAAGACCTCTGTTCCTCCAAGAGAAGAGGGTCAGTGCTCTCTAAATCGGAAGATAAGTCTCCAGGGAAAGAGTTGGTGAATGTGCTGGCATCGTTACTAGAGGAAGTTGAACTCGTTCTGGCGCTTAGCAAAACCTTATTTAATTCTTTCGCATGAATGCCGACTTCCCTTCTAACTCCCTACAAAAGCAAAACTTTGAAGGTGAGAAAATGAATTACCTTGCCAAACAATGGAAATAATGTGCATTTATTTGATACAATCATGTCAGATGAGCTTCGAAATAGGATGACTTCTAAACCAGCCTTGACAGACCTTAGACATTCAAGCAAGTCTCTTTCAACAACCATTTTAACCAACTCTTCTTGCTTTAATTTAAAGCCTAGGAATGCTCGAATATAGGACAAGAAGGAAATGAGCTTGCAATGCAAGAATTATTGTTGTTTGAACTTAATTTAGTCTATATCAAACTTCAGTTCTTTCACTCATTTATCGTTTTCTTTTCCAAATTCTTGATGCAAGCTGTAAAATGTCTTCAATCTATTACTAACTAGAACAGAATCTCGTCTCTAAATTTGTCCCCTTCTTCCGATAAAGCTAGGTTTTAGACCATATTCCTCCATATCAAATCCCTAAATCGAATTTCCACGTTGATGCATCCACTTTTAGGCAATTAACGTAGAAGCTAACAACTAAGTCTAATAGTTAAAGACTGAAGGAATGCTTGGAACACAAACCTGCGCGTCATACATGACAAGGCCTGCGTAAACTACAGCTAAACCGAAAATTACGTCAGAGAAACCCCTGCAATGACATCGTAACTAGAATTAAAACTGAGGGGAAAAAGAAATAGATTGATCAATAAAATAAATGAGGGCAAAATCCAATAAGTACCTCTCCAAACCAAGTGAAGTTGCAGTGGCCACAACAGCCTGAAATTGTGAATAAATATATCCAGTTAGATAATCCCATTTCAGTCTGGTTTGATATGAACTTATGACCACAAAATCAGATCGATCATCAGATTACGAGTTCAGTATCAAACCCAAAAAAAACTAATTACAGGTACATACAATCTCATGCATAAGCAGAACAGTAGAAAATATTACAGAGGAATGTGTAGAAGGGAACCCTCCAGCGTGAACGACAGCCTTAAAATCATAATTCTTGCCATATAATATAGTTGAAGTTATTGGCTTTGATAATTGCCCAATTGCTGCAGATACAGCTGCAGCTATCAAAACCTATACACAATCAATTCAAAAATAAACTCCCAATTCAAGAAATTCATGACCCAGTAGAAAGAATAATCTAACCTTGTTCTGAAAAATGCCAGCAACATCACTGAGTGCAATTGTAGGACACGCGAGGTTAGATACACATCGAAATGGAAAATAAGAAGGAATTCTTGAATTTTTTTGTATCAAAAAAGGCGCTTTAGGGGGATCAACATTATTGAATGGGCAGCTGAAAGAGTTGCAAGATTGAAGTAACATAATTAGAAAATAGAATCCTCTGCAAATCCAACTCTTTCTCCTTTTTGCAGAGTCAAAAGAGCATAAAAGTTTGGGTCCGAATCTCGATCTTTGAATTGTTGATTTTTGCTTTACGCCGCTTGTAAAGATGATCCCACACCTTTTTTTATAATTCGTAAAGACGCCGCCGCAGCTGACTTCACAAATTAATGAAATGTGTGTGTGTGTGTTTTTTTTTTCAAATCATTTGATATTTCATGATTAGAATTTCTTATTGAATTGTTCTTATTTAAAACTTATATAGGTTTTGTCAAATCATTTGACCATTTAAGATTATTATTTCATAAAATTAAATCAATCAAATTCTATTAAAACCCTATTTCAGCCCAATTTTTTTAAAATTCATTTTTTATTTCTCAAACTCATTTTTAAATAAATTTTTTAATAAAATAATTTTACACGTAATCTTCCAAAAAAAATAAAATAAAGAAATCACTATAATAAAATCTATTCCCCCTAAAAATGAGCTCAAACAAATCTAAGCACCAGTACTTAGCCCCTATTTGGAGGACATAATTTGGGTAGAAAAATTAATTTTTTCACCATTAGCACCCAAAAGTAGACCCTTTTTTTTTAACACACTCTCATGCGGGTCCCAGGTGACCCAAAAAAAGGGTAAAAAAATGTCCTCAATACAGGGTCTTAACTTATGTTAAGCACCGATGCCATAAGTTTAGAAGCTCTGGACACTGATAATGTGTCATATTAATTAATTGGTGGTTAAAGATTTTATGAGTTTTGATGAATTAATATGACACATCAGCGATACTTAGTGTAAGATGAATACTGAAACTACGTAAATACTTAGAGAAGTTAGTTAAAAGCTAGAATCGAATTCAGTTCAGGATATGATTTGTTTATTTATTTATTTTTTTCAGAATTTAAATTAATCGACATGCTATAACAATACAACGTTACTCCTAAGAATCCCACCTCCATTTTTCATTGAAGGAGGTGTGAGGTTGGAACATTTTGAATGGTGAAGAAAATATTTTTGTTCAATGATATTTGCTCAATTGCTTGCTTAGCATTTCAGTTTTCTATGTTCATTTTGGTCAAGAATGAACTATTGAATTATTTTATTATGGGACCAATCCAATTCCATATAAGCCTGAATTCTAACAAGTAATTTTCTTTTCTTTTTCTTTTTTAATCAATTCAAAGGAATCTTTCTTCAAATATAATATTATGCTGGTCAATGATATAGTCAGTGTGAAAAGTCTGCCTAAGACTATCATTTAAATTTTATTTTATTTTATATTCCTTGAAATTTTTTTTTGTTACTTTATATTTAAAATTATGCAATAAAACCCAACGCAAGCTGGAATAGCTCAGTTGGTTAGAGCGTGTGGCTGTTAACCACAAGGTCGGAGGTTCAAGCCCTCCTTCTAGCGTTTTCAAATTTTCTTTTTTATTGGCCAGGAAAACGTCGATGGTGGATCATTACTCTTATATTAATAAAAGAAATCCATTTGAATTAGTAGCATTTTTTACTTTTAGAACGTCGTAAACCTCTTCTATAACCGAATGAAAGCCTCCTTCTAGCGTTTTCAAATTTTCTTTTTTATTGGCCAGGAAAACGTCGATGGTGGATCATTACTCATATATTAATAAAAGAAATCCATTTGAATTAGTAGCATTTTTTACTTTTAGAACGTCGTAAACCTCTTCTATAACCGAATGAAATATTGATACGAGAATTGTTGTAATCTTTGAGGCTTGTTTTAAAAAGCCAAAACTGCATTTGTATAATGGCACAAAAACCAGTAAGGATGTCCAAGAACCACAATGTTGTGTTCAGTTCATAACTTAAAATGCCAAATTTTCACCTTTGTAGAAATTACTGTCACTGAAATGCATCATATCATAATTTAATTGAGAAACGGAATCCTAAAAGTATTCAAAATCAACATAGGAACTATCAGTCGGGCTGCTCTTGTTCCTATCATTCCCAATCTCAGCCATCTTCTTGTCTGAATTAGCAGATTCTTTACTAGCAAACTGCGAAAAGTCTACAGGTTCGGGTATGCATGGAGGCATGGCACTTCTCACTAATGCCCAGTTCACACCCTCGAAAAATGGGTGCTGTTTTATTTCTGTAGCTCCTCTCTTATATGCAATTCTCTTATGTGGTTCCTTCACCAGGAGCCCTCTTATAAGATCTCGTGCCATAGAACTCACCTGAGGAGTTTCAGGGAATCTTAATGGTTGGCCAACTACATTAAACAGAGTAGCTCGATTTCCAGAACCCTTGAATGGCGTTGCTCCATGCAAGAGTTCGTATATGAAAATGCCAAACGTCCACCAATCCACTGCACTACCATGACCCTCTCCCCGAATGATCTCTGGAGCTAGATATTCGTGGGTCCCAACAAAAGACATGGAACGCACGTTTGTTGGCTCAGCCATTAGTTCAGGAAGAGAGCTTGTACTATTATTGAGCCCAAAATCAGATTTAGATTTGCGATTCTTTTTGGTAGGGAGAAGGCGTGGAAAAAAGGTGGACGGCTGGATACAACCACGAACAGCATTTTCATCGTCTAAGATACCAGCAGCAGTATCACTCGGATTACCAGTATGTACCAATGAAGACTTAACAAGTGTCGGACAGACAGAGCAACGAAGTGATAAGTCGAAGTCAGATAGCATGATATGACCTTCTTCTCTCACTAAAACATTTTCTGGCTTTAGATCCCTGTACACAATTCCTAGCATATGAAGATATTCAAGTGCCAACAAGACCTCTGATGCATAAAACCTGCGAAGCATAACAAACAAATCAAAGTTACTTAGCTATTTTTCTGTCAGCATCTGCATATGGAAACTAAATCTGGAAGTATTAAGTACAACAAGCAAGATGATACTCCGAAAATTCGTGCCTATTCTGAGTTGATGCACAAAGAAAATTACTATTTTTGTGTCCAAATTGTGAGGAACCTAGGTTAATTTGAGGAGAGTAAATATATTTAGACTAAGGAAATGAGTTGACAGCAAGATCAGGAAACTAAAGAACCAAACTAAGTAGAAATCTTAGAGAGAATGACATCAAGAACATACATTCAGAGATCATATGATACAAAAATCTTTACAAGGGAGAAAAAACAGAATCAATGTATCTCCTAGATTAAAATGTGACTGCGGCGATAATATTATTCAGAATCTTGCTAAAATGACCACTTTAAAACTAGTCAGCTTTTATATTTTCTAGTGCTGCTATGGAGAAAATTATAAGTAAAACCACATGTAGTAGAGAAAGGGATAAATAAAGATCATAACGCGGGTAGGTACTGACCGAGCAGCCTCCTCTGTAAAATGCTTGTTGGGCTGTTTTTGGCGAAGAGTATGAAGATTACCTCCACTACAGAACTCCATCACCAAGCAATAAAATTTTTCAGTTTCAAAGTGAGAGTATAAAGTAGGCAAGAACGGGTGGTCAAGAAGACCAAGAATCTCTCTTTCAGTTTGAGCTCTAAGTAGCTTATTTCTACTTGCAAGAGAACCTTTATCCATGACTTTCATGGCAAAGAAGGTATTAGTTCCTCGGAGTTCAACAAGATAGACACTTCCAATGTCTCCATAACCAAGCCGCTTCAAAAGCCGAAAATTGCTAAGACCAAGTGGAGAATCTCTTGAAGAAGAAGAGTTAATGGCATCCCAACGAACATCACCACCAGTGTGGGGCCTGAAGGGTGCACAAAAACTGTCCAAACTGTTACTACGGTTGCTGTTGACACTCCCCCGGATGGGGTTAACGCTTGATTGGCTACTCACAGCATCACCAGTACTTGTATTTGGTGATATGGCCAATAGTCTACCCAGTGTTGTGGCAGTCAGGTTATCTGACGTTGTACCAGTCGTTGCAAATCCATCAGATTTTGGGGAATCAGCTGATACCATATAAGTGGAAGCCAAATTAATTTGGGAATTCGGATGTACATTTAAAGGTTCACATGGTGAAACAAGACCTAGATTGGCACTCCTTTTCGGCACTTGGCTCGACTTCTTAAAGCTGTGAGATGGATTGGAAGTTAAAATGCTATTACTTTTGGCAGCCAGGTTCTTCTTGTCCGGCTCACATGCCTGCTCCAATGGCATGCTACTCATCTGTATTTAAGGATATACAAGAATCTTCTTTAATATTTTCCAACTGTTCAAATACTGGGGAATACAAGAACCAAAAGCAAGAATTGGAGAATGGAAACCAAAATCTATTTCACAACCATTGCAGAAATTTATGATAGTAGCTACACAATGAACATACAGATACAGGTTCACTGGTTGCATACTTATAATCAGAAAACCACAGATTATGTGAAATTACCAAAAGATCAAAACAGACGAGAGTTGCGAATTTTCTTCTCATCGTAGTGATGAAGGCTTTATATTCACCATGTAATAATGCAGAAAGGGGTTTATTACTTTTCTGTCTCAACTTTTTAATTCTGACAATACTCCGGTAAAGATAGAGAAATCATTTGAATTGGAGGATAAAACAAAGGTAACACTGACCTCATCCAAGTCCCTGCCTGTTGGATTCAATGACATTCCAGAACAAGATTCATAAGAAAAATCTGCAAGAAATATCATGCAGAAAATGCAAAAACGTCATCGTTCATGTTGATTACAAGCCAAAAAAATTTCCATCTAAATATCAATTTTCTGCATTATATAAAGGACCCACCAATTGTATTGAATGCCAGAGGCTTCTCCTTGGATTAATTATCCTTCCGTTCAATCATCCTTCAATGGGAATTTAATAACTCATCAAATATGATAATTAGGAAAACGATAAGGAAAATCCCAGCAAAAATTCATTGGCCGTATGGACAAAGAATCCTTGTTTTTAACACCATTAGTTTCAGGATTGTTGGTTTGGAAGGTGGGTGTAGAGACAAATGTGGGAAGGAGGGAATGGAAAATCCATATTTAATATATACATTTGAAAAAAAAAATGGATGGAGAGAGAGACAGATGTGGATAGAGGTAAGGAGAAGCGGCCACAGAGAAGAGAAGAGACGAAAGGATCGGCGTTCGAAACTGTGTAAACGTGGTCGGAAATATTTCTCTGGATTCTCCTATATATAATGACTGACACGTCTTCAATTACAATTATTAGTTGAGTTCAAGTCATTGCCTTCAAACAAATATTTGGTGTCATCTGACAAGTTTTAAATC